ATTCTACGAGAGTTTTGCTACTGGTGTTGAAACGCCACAGAAGCAAGGCCGAACATTGTCATGGTGTTTTCTAGAATAGGCACAGCTGCCTTAGAAAAAATGGAAAGGAACATCAATTTATTAAACATTCATTTATTATAAAACAGGAATGGTCAAATTTCAGCAGAAGTGAGAATTTAAAGGGAAAATCAAATAAGTACAATGTAAGACAAAATTTAGTGCAGAAAATAACTTAGTGAGAAAATAACATTATGACAGGCCAGGGGGAGGTTTTAGAAACTATGAGATGTTAAAAGAGGATCCCCAAAGTTCACAGGCTGGAGTTGGAGTTACCTCAGTACAGCGCCTTGAGGTACTTTTAGAAGAACTGGGTCAGTGAGATATCAGCAGACCAGGACTGTGGAATTAGCCTCTGGTCTGCTGGATCAGAGCTGCTCTGATGATCAGGTGATCTGATGACCGGAGATGCTTTGAAGATCAGCTGAATAGGAACTGTACAGGAAATAAACTGACATTTAAGCAGAGGTTAGAGACGACTTTGCTGTGCTGTTATACTTGTGATTTGACTGATGCACTGTATTGGTACTTTGGTGAGGATTGCTTCACCAGTGGACTTCTTGTTTGCAAACATTGTATTTGAACACAGACCTCCACTGTCTCTATCTGCAGTGTACTCTTCTCAATTCCTCTTTCCAGGCTTCACAACACTTTGTCCGACAAACCTGCTGGGATTCATGAAGACATGCCTGGTCCTGCAGTATAATGCCACTCCCTCCAGGGGGCAGTACAGGGACATGCTAAATGCTCTTGTGAATATATACCGTCCTGAGGGTCTTCCTGGTCTATACATGGTAGGGTCTGCATCACATCTCATTTTCATATTCATCTAAGTTCCCTTTAGGCAGCAGTTTCAAATCACAATTTTGAACAGCCCCATGGAAACTTTACATTCGTTTTGAAATCCCTTCTTGGCCTGTGTAGCATGCCTGACAGTTAGTGATAACTTCTGTTTATTTAACAGAAATGAGAGCGTGATGAATGGAGACTCCGATTTTTCATAATCATTTTTCCAGCCAATCCGTGACCAGATCTTCACAAATTTAAGTTGTTTAATGGCAGAGTTAATTTGCATAATGGGTGGAAGTGTCATTCTTTATGTTGCTTAGGATAAAATAGTCAGGCACATAAACAGGCACCCTTCCAGGAGTGAGATGTTTGGTGTGTGCTGACTTGGGCCCGTGCTGGCTTCATTCTGGGCCTCTTCAGCACTTCCCACGATGCACTGCAGTTTATATTATATGAGGAGCATATGAAGAGGGCATTTAACAAACGCAGAAAGAAGCTTTCAGGAGCAGCGTTGGTGGGCATGGCTGCCGGGAAGCTTATTACCATGTTCTGCCCTCTCCTGAGCTTCACGATCTCTAAGGTGGGGGCCATGCAGGCACTGTAACAGGCCACCTAAGGGCCCCACCGCCTGTAAACAATCCCCTCACTCTTCCTTTGCTCAGAGTCCATGGGAATATATCGCCACGGCAGAAAATATTCGCCCTACCAGGTGACCCGTGTGGGTATACAGGACAAGCACAGGTGAGATCTGAAGCACTGCTTGACCGCCCTGGTCCTGCTTGCTGTGGTTACTGAACCCGGCTGAGAACCTGAACACTTCTGTGGTGCTCAGACAACGTTAGTCTCTCGTATTTTTTAGCAGGTAAACCTGCACTTCCTCACTGCCGTGAGAGCTGCGATTCTGCTGTAAATTGTGTGAGTTTGTCTTGGAAAGATCTCCTAAAGCAAGACACACTGAGGCTAAACTCTCAGCTACCCTGAAGCACTAAAATGTTCTTCCGGCGCCATCCGCAGGCAGCAGCTGGCATGTGTCTTTTGTTCAGTAACTTTGTGTAAAATAGGATGGAATGCAGTATATTTTAGGCTTTGAACTACAGGGCACTGAGGCACCTCATGTACATAGACAAGTACTGGTCACCTTATGGAAAATCCCGACTGTGGTTGACATACTGATAAGTCACCCACCTAAGGGGCAAATGGCAGTTTGCACGATCCTGAGGGACAAGGTATCAGGGCCCTTCTGAGGGCTGCGTGATGTTATTATGGGTTGTGGTGAAAATGACCATGTGGGACCTGCATATCTGTGCTGCGTATTGCTCAGGAGAACATGCACAATTCTGCATTTGGGGAGTCGGGAATGTGATACTATGGCCCCTGTGTGGATGCAGATGTGCATGACGACCAGTAGGTGGCAGCAGATGCTCTCCATTTCTAGGCTAAAGTGATCACTCAGCGAACTGAATGCAAGACGACAGTATGAGAAGACGGAGTACCCTCAGCCGACATGGCTCAGTCTTACTGTTAAATTATTCTATTCTATTATATATATAATTAAAGCTGCACTACAGTGAAATGGCTGAATGTCCGTTGTGTGTCCATCTGGATAGATTGTCTGGAGAAAGGTAACACAGGCAAACCCGCACATACATGTGTGTCGTTAAAAAGTGTTCCTGAGGTTTCCGCCTGTCTACTGCAACACGCCAGTGGTTGCTAATCAGCTGTGGCCTTCATATCCTCACCCAGGCTGTCAGCAAGACACAGAGCGGGCTGGACAGGGCCGCTGCGTGACAATGCCTCTGTTCCTTTAATCAGGGGGTAATGAGCGCTTCTGAGTTCAGTATCTAGAAACATAATCGGAGCAGAACTGACTGTTCAAAGTCTGGTTCAGAGGCTGGAGACTCGTCTGAGGCAGGATGGGGTCTGACAGAAAAAAAGCAGGAAAGTGATTCATAACATTTTAATGATGAATACATATTTATGAGGCAGGAGGAGGTGGGCGTGCAGGTCTTTGAGCAGCAGATGCCGAGTTATTCCTCAGAACACCACTATGAGTCCTGCTCTGAGCCCCCCAAAGCATCACGCATCTTTCCCTCTGGGTCCAATTAGCCCGTTGGTGCAGCCAGGCTCGGCCCCTTTAGCTGTGATCCAAGCAGACGGGCCTCAGAGTCTGACCCGGCTGCTCCCAATTACCATCCTACCACCGTGAGAGGAGCTCGGCCCGGTCTGCTGGACTAAAGGCGACATGAAAGCAGGCGGATGGGGAATCCCAGCCCCGAGGCCGAGCCATAGACAGGAGAGTGTCTCGCCGTGATGTCTAAGTGCCTCGTCAGTCACGACGCAAATATGCCAGCAAAAAAAGAACAAGGCTCCGTGTCGAGAGGATTTCAACACTTGCCTTCTACCCAGATTACATGAGCAGTTTTTTAAATGCCGTCATTAATTTAATAATTCAAATTCACTTTTTTCCCCACCAGTGCACAATTTAATTAGAGTAATTATTTGTTCATTACAGCTATTGGTTGTGCCCAGGGTGGGTGTGGGTGTGTGTGTGTGTTCCAGGTGTACCTTACATTGTGGGGATCAAATGTCCCCACAATGTGATAAAAACCTGTTATTCTGACATTGTGGGTACCATATTTTTCAGTCCCCACAAAGGGAAATTAAATTTTACAAAAATCTGTGACTGCATTAAAAAAAACTAAAAAGTGTTGCATTTTGCTTGGTTACTTATGGTTAAGGTTGTCACTGTTCAAAAAAGGGCTTTGCCCATAGAAATGAATGGACAGGTCTGTGTGTGTTTGTGCGTGTGTGAGTGTCTCTCTGTCTGTCTTGCACTGGTATGCAGTTCTGGCTGTCCACCTCCCTTACACAGCAGGTAACAAATCCTATTATTCCAAACATCTCACAAATAACACTCCACGAGCATACAAAACCTTGGGGGGGGGGGGGGTGCGAACCTATCACACGACAGGGGAAGGAGTTACAATTGAAACATGGACACAAACATCTGTATTTTTATTATTCATGATGGTTTCATTCGTAGGGGTTAGCGGTCTGCAGAGATTGCATGCAATAACATAAGAGGTCTTCGCCTTTGTAAACATTACTGGGTAATATGTTGAGCTCATTAAGTGTGTTGAGTTCATTACGTCTGGGAAGCACAGGAACGTTTCAGCCAGACCTAGTACACGTGGTGAAGTATTTCCTTGGTTGAATGGCAGTATGATGGTTCATCTGTATCCACTGGCTCGTGTTTTTATGGCATGGTAATACTACCTTGATAGCCTGCAGATGTTGGGCATGCTGTAGCAGCAGATGATCTCCTTGAAGGTCTTCCTCATCTCCTGGCTACGGAAAGCATAGATGAGCGGGTCGATGACGGAGTTACACATGATCAGGATGAGGTACATGTGGAAGTGAGACATGTAGCAAATGCAGTAGAGGTTCCTGGGGCAGGAGATCATGAGGATCAGGTGGAGGAAGAAGGGGGACCAGCAGACGATGAAGATGCCCAGGAGGATGGTGAGCGTGATGGCACCTTTCATGCTGGTCCGCTGGTGGACGGCATTCTGGCCAGGCATGGCGGCGATGCGCTTGACGTGGGATCGTGCCAGCATGAACATGTGACTGTAGAGAGAGGCCATCAAGAGGAGCATGGCAAAGAACATGGACACCAGGCAGACGATGACGGGCGTGCTGTCAGAGTAGATGATGAAGACGATGCCGCAGCCTGTGCAGAAGGTCCAGATGCCGGTGATGATGAAGGTCGCCCGCCGGACGGTCATGATGTTGTGGTAGCGCAGGGCGTAGAAGATGGTGACGTAGCGATCCACGGCGATGGCCAGCAGGCTGCACATGGAGGCCACGACGGAGATGCAGATCATGGAGTCGAAGACGTTGTCCATCTGCCGGATGAAGTGGTCGCTCACCACCAGCTGACCACTGTTGAGGAGGCACATGATGATGGTCTCCAAGGCGTTGGAGACACTTACCAGCATATCTGCCACGGCCAGGCTGCACACGAACAGGTACATGGGAGAGTGCAGGTTCTGGTTCTTGACGACGGCGCAGATAACCAGGATGTTGGCCAGGAGGCTGACGAGGCCCAAGCTGAGGAACACCTCCGTGGTGATGGTAAGCTGCTCACAGGCCTTGGGCTTGGCCCCACTGTGGGGGCCAGCATTATTGGTGGAGGCTGAGCTAATATTGGGGATGAGAGTCAGCCTTGATGGACCCACAGAAGCGTTCATCATGCCTTGGTTTGGGTGGTATCTGCTGCTTCTGAACCAGCAAAAAACACCTCTATTCCTGTGCAGGAGGAGAATATGATTGTGATGTGAATTCGAATACCACCAAAATAATACGCACCCTGCTTATCAACACAATGTTACTCTAAGAAGCACTTTGCCGTATATTAGTTACTAATTTAATTTCCATGGAATGGAATAGATGCTGCTGGAAACATCGCAAGGTAAAAGACAGCGGTAACGGAGGGTGATGCGTTTCAAATCACCGCAGTGCAATCCACAGTTTAATGGTCCTTCATGAAAGATGCTCAAAAAGTCTACTTGGATTTCACTGACTTTTCAGTGGAACTGTGGCACTAATCTGCGGGCACGGTAAGGATGCCCATCTGTGCTCATGACCTGTTTCACCTGCCGGCTTCCTGTCTGCGAGGTAATCACAGAAGTCATGGCACTCACACAGGTATCTGACCATAGGCTATGATCCCGCCTCCCATTCACACCTCGTGGACTTACCCATCAGATTAAAGACACATTTGGCTATGCCAGCGTCCATACAGCATTTAGCCAGAGTGCCCTGCCCAGTCAGCCTTCTGTGGTTTAGCTAATGCTGGGCTCCTCAGTCCAGGTTTAACTTCTGCCGGGAATTACCAGTAGATTGAGCAATGAAATGGAAAAGAAATATAGATTAAATTAGATTTTTTTTAATAAAAGCACTGTTTTTCCCTATACATATCATCTGAATCATTGCAAAGACACAATGTTCTTTGGATCTTGTACCAACCTGATCTGATTTTTTACCTCAAAAACCTTAGAAAAAGCACAAATTGATACTTAGCAATGTTCATGCATTAATCATTGCATAACTGTCTACAATTATTAGTTTTTATTAGTACGTTTGCTAGGAACTGAAAGAGCCAATCATCACTTCTGATTCCCATGACTAATTGATATTATGTAACCTTTTTTTTTTTTTTTTAAACATCACATTAATGCATTTTATGCCTTTGCTAAAAATCCTAACAATTACTGGCGGATGGTTTCTCATGCACTTATGGGTGCTTCCTGTCCTGCGTTATGGGTGACGGTGGCAGCGTGACAACCGGCTGTACATGAGCATGCAAAGAGTGTGCAGTAACGCCCATGCATGAGGGAACACACGGCGGCATAGGGGAAATCACCATGACAGAACCAACAAAAATCAGGAAAAAAACAAACACCCAAGAACAGTACATAAGCCTGAAACAGAAAAGCATGGAATGAAAGGAGCGTCTCATGACCCTGAACAAAAAAAAAACGTCAGATGCACCAGATTGCACCAGCAATGAAGAGAAACAGGACAGCATGTCTATGTTTCACAGTGATAAATTGCCTTAAATCAAATCTCCTCAAGAAGAAATTTTCCAGGAAACCAAAACATTCTCTCTTGAAAGGTCTGAACAATTAACAGTGTATTAGAGCAGTTAGGGAGCATAATTTTCATCACTTAAATGCCTACAATCAATAGGAACACATTATCGGTTTTCAGAAGAGCAGCTGTGCTCTGTTTAACAATTTTAAAAAGGATTAAAACAGCAGACATTTAATAACCAGGAAGACAAAGTCAGTGGGGGTGGATAAATCCGACCTAAAACACTGAACGTCACACACTTTAAAGGATATGGAAGGAGGAACTCGCCTTCAGCTGTCTGAATTCATATATTTATAATGCTTCACCCAACAATGATCACTGGAGGTTCTGCATAAAGGTTGGGAGCTTTGTTAGATACTGAAAAAAATCAAAGTCAGTCTATTCGCTTTAAAGTAATGGAATGTTATTGCCTACACTATGATTTTGGCAGATGTTTATATGCGTATGGCTAATTTAGACACGGGTTGCAATAATATTTTAAATTAATTATATGCTACATCCTTGACAAAATACCACTGAAATATGATGAAATATACATGAATATGTGGGTTCTACAGAACGTAGTCTAGCAGGATGTTTAGTTCTAATTGCTGTCTTTCATCCACTTGGATCACATCTTTCATCACCATGTCTCCCGGCTTGGTGCATAGTCTGTGGGAAAGAAGCCGGCAAATGGGTAACGGGGGAGGGCGGCACCTGGGCCGGCAAATGCCAATCGGGCGACCTCGGCAAAAAGTTGCAAACGCCGCCGCCTCCTGACCAAGAAAAGGAGGTGTGCAGGTCACATCACACTGTAGCATTCCCGCTAAAGCAAAGGCCATCGTCGGCCATGTTGGTGCATAGTTTCGTTTCCTGTCTGGTGCATGGTATTATATACATACGATCTGCGATGTTTTGCTGCGTTTGTCATAGCCGAGTGTGCTGTTGTCAGCTGCAGCAACAGCAGTTTTCGTGACAAAGTTAAACGATCCTTCAGGATTCCCAAAATTTGTGAATAAGTCTTAACAGTGCCACAGTTTATGGAGATTGCTTTGTAAATGGTAAGAATATCCCATGATGGGTGGGATGGTGGCTCTGAGGCTAGGGATCTGTGCCAGCAATCGTAAGGTCGCTGGTTTGAATGAAAGCAGTGATCCTCCTCCGTTGGGCCCTTGAGCAAGGCCCTTAACCTGCAGTTGCTTTGTCTTGGGTATGACATTAATCTACATCCAGCCCTGCAAGCAGGCCCTCCAACTTACAGGGAAAACTTGGGGGTTGGTGGCAGGATTGGCACTCCAGCCACTGGGAAAAACTCACACTGCTCCATTTGGACTGGTGTGGTGCTGAGGTATCACCCACTGCATGGCTGCACTCAGGTTCTCATCCCTGAAGTGGTTTATCGTGTGGTGGGTGCAGCAACGAGCCGTCATCAGCACAAGCTCCTTACCTCCACCTCGGACGGGGGCTGCCAGCGGTAATGCTCACTTAGGACACCACATTGGCAAGGACTGGTACTGATGGTAACACTTTACTTGAGGGAGCACAAATAATGTAGTAGTACACCCTTACTTAATCTATTAATTAACCAGAAACTAAGTGTTAGTTACGCACTGATCCAATGTTAGTTCTTCATTAATTGACCATAAAATTTAATGTTACTATATTTGTTAAATATTTGCACTTCAGTCGTAACTAAGTTACTATGTCACTTGTGCCCCCTGAAGTAACTTGTTACCTAGTGATTTCATATAATTGCCAAGTTATTAAATTACAACTTGTACCGTTGACGCCACCCCCCGGTCGACAACTTTTACTGTCCTCACCCACACCCCCACCCACCTAGGATATCATCTCGCTAACTCCACTTGTACTAAAATCAGGCTATATTAACACTCTTAATAAGTCTTCACGAGAATTGTTCCTTATACTGCAGTCATCCATCCAAAGAATGGGTGCGATTAATCTTTGATTGCCTAGTTCCGATGCTTTGACACAGCATCGACACTGATTACGCAGTATGCAAATACGACAATGTGTCCCTCTACTCCTTCGAAATGACTGATCCAATTACGACACGACCCCCCCCCCTGATTCCCGTTACCTCCTTCACTGCTTACTCATAAACTTCACCCTGTCATTATACTGCACGTCAGTATGAGAACGAGTGGTCCATAAAAAGCAGTTTGATGCTAAAAGCACAAAACTCAAGCGTGATACTTGAATGCCCCCGAAAGTGGCGGACAGCGCACATCCTGAAACGGCTCGGTGCAGGTCTGTCATAGTTTGTAGCAAAATCAGTGTAACTAATACAGGAGCCCAATTAGCGACCCGATTTAACGAGGTTAAAAAGTCAGTGAGTTTATGATGACGGACCCTTAACATAATGAGGCGCAACTGGTACTAAGCACACAAACGCATTACGACGGTTCATACAAATCTTCTATGGTTCAGTTATATAAAGCTATTAAAAATGCATTTTAACGTTTCATTATTTGCTAATTAGTAATACCCTGTCATCATACTGTAGTTCGGAGTCCTACCCTCGCCACTTGCAGCGCGTTTCCTCTGGAGCGACCGGCAGCTGCAGGATCCTCTGTCTGGCGCTGCCGTCACTGAGCCCGTCACCGGCGGGACGCGCAGCTCCACCATTTATACTCCCGCTATAAACCTGACGGCCAACCCCCCCCCCCCCCCCCCAAACTTCTCCCACTCCTGGCTCTTTAATCCTAAAACGCTTCTTTGGCTAATACACCCTTATTTACCGTGTTCACCGGCATTTACCTCGCTCGTTATTTTCGTCGAAAGTTAACGATTTTTCTTTGCAGTAGACCGGCATCCCGTCCACTTAATGGGCTAATTTCATGTAGATTAATATTGATTAATATTGCAAGAACGCCTGGGTGACAGACAGCTGACACGCACGAGACAGGCTAAAAGAGAACTGAGGTTTGAGCTAAGTGTTGCACTTATGTTTTGGAACATAGTAACTGCAGACTATAGGGGACAAAGGTGTGAGCGTCCAGCTCACTTAGCAGAAATGGCAGGAACACCACAAAGACAGAGGCCATGCAAAAGTGTAGACGCTCCATCACATGCAACCTGCAGCATGCAGATTGTATGAAGTAAACATGCTTGCAAGATGAAAACTGCATGAATCATATGTGTTATAAAGTGCACAGCCTACCCTAACCAGTTTGATCTGGTTCACAGGAAGGGGCACAAACTGTGTAACCCTATAAAAGTTATGTTGGCCAGAAAGTTCTTTGAGCATTACGACAGAGATATCATGGAAGTGGTTGCTGCCTGAGCTCAACAATAAAACGACATCATACTCCAAAGCACCGACCAAGCGTCATAAATTTCTACCACAATAGACTCACCTTCTCACTCCATGAGATACTTCTACTATGATGAGTCTTGACATAAGCAGACAGCAAAGAACTACTGTGTTAAAATATGTGTCCTGTGACAAATGTATTTTTAAATAAATTACATTATAGTAGTACAATGTTTATGAATTTAATATTTATGTAGTGTATGTGTAATGGCTTTTCAAATGTTGAAATTTGGTTGTGTGACAACCAAATTGGTGTAGAGCAACTTTGAAACATGATTAAAAAAAAACTGAAAAATCAAACACATCATGAGGGAAATGTGTTATTTAAAAATACATCAACTGTGTTAATGTACATGCAGACCCTTGGAGCTCAGTGTAATATTTTATGCATGTTTTATGCCCTGCAACCTCTTTGATATGGTTTCCTAGTCCAAATGAGTCGTGACCCAAATGAGTCGTGATGCGGTTCGGTTCCTGTCTGTTTCTCATTTTTATGGTGAAAAGGAAGTTACAGAGCACTTATTTTTAAATTGCATTTCCAAACATGAAGATGTACCGGTTTGATACAACCATTTGTAGCTATAAATATCTGTCTTGGATTAAAATCTTTAAAATTGACAAAGCAGTCATTCAAAGTACGCATTCTCAACTCTCTGTCCCACTGACTGAGGCTGCTGACTCATTATAAATAACTTCTGTACTTAATAGAAAATCAACCATACAATTATATATAATTATATATAATTTTATATATATATATATATATATAGACAGACACACAAACACACACATGAGAGCAGAATTATTAGCCCCCCTATGAAATTTAAAGTTTTTTCTAAATTCTTCCAAGTGCTTTTTTAACAGAGCAACGCATTTCCGACAGCGACATTTCCTAAACATGCTAGTTTTCTCTAGGAAGCATAAATATCTCTATTTGCACACAATAACAGAATTATTTATTTCAGAGAATAAAATACCAGGGTCACACTGAAAAACTGACCTGTTTATCGAACCATAGCACAAACCACTGCTGTGTCATGATGTACTTTAACTTTTGTAATGCTCAAAGCTTGTAAAATCAAGTTACATCTGAGCTGAGCTGTCGCTTGAGAAAGCATCATGCCAAACACGAAAGAAACCAGCTTAGACTTGAGAAAAAGAATTGTTGGTGCTCACAAAACAGGAGATGGATATACAAAGTTATCACAGCTTTTCCAAGTGTCAAGAACTGGAGTGAAAAGTATCATCAAGAAATTCAAAGACACACACAGTACTGAAGAAGTCTGGCAGAGGTAGGAAGCAAAAGATTTAAAAGATTCTGGAAAGAAAACAAGTGAGAGATGTGTCTAAAGACCTCAGAACAACTGCCAAGACACTAGTGAATGGCTTAGCCAAGTCGGGAACTGTAGTCTCAAAGAAGACAATCACTAGAACCCTGCACAGGAGGGTTGCAGACCAAGAGAAACTCCACTTCTGCAGAAGAGACACCTACAAGCCAGATTGAAGTATGCTACGGACAACCTTAAAAAAGATTATGCATACTGGAAGCGCATCCATTGCTCAGATAAGACATAACTAGAGCTTTTTGCCCATAAAGATGCTGCTTATGTTTGGAGAAAGATGGGAGAGGCGTACAACCCAAAGAACACCATCTGCACAGTTAAATACGGTGGTGGCAGTATTGTGCTGTGGGGATGTTTCAGTGCATGTGGAACTGGGAATCTTGTCATGGTGGAAGGAACCATGATGAGAAGGTTTTGAATGAAAACCTCAAGCAGTCTGCAGCAAAACTGGATCTGAGTCGACACTTTGTCTTCCAACAGAACAACAATGTAAAACATGGAATTGTTATGGAGACTGTTTATGAGACGACTGCAGGCTGTCATCCAGCAAATAGGATACACAATTCACTAGTTGTCTTGGGGGGGGGGGGTTATAATTGTTTGTGTAAAACAATGTTGTTTCTATATGCAAAATAAAATTATGGTGCATAATGGTTTTTCGTTGTATTCATGACATGTAATATGTATGACGACGGATCATTGTTTATGTGATGGGAACATTGTACTGTGTGGTGGACTGCAATGGGTATGTGTTGGTGAAATGTTGTAGGGGGTACCTACCTAACCTACCTTACCTACCTTACCTACCTCTCTCCCTCCCTCCCAGGAGTTTTACCAGGACAAAAAAAAATGTTCAATAACCGTATTTACATACATGACCTCAGCCAATCCAGGCAAGCATCATTCCCAGCAAGATTAAACCTTGTCCTTCGATAGAATAATATATGTTTCAGATTTTGCTTGTAAAGCAGACACTGCAGCTTTAAGCAGAATCAGGGCATCATCTGTGCCACCCCAAGTTGACCTGAGGTCCCCTCCTAAGATCCTGTACAGAGATCTGCTGAGGAACATGCCATCTTCACATGGATGTTATGAGTTATTAATGAGGAAGATTATGGGCTTTGTCAGCTTGCCCTTATGATGTCTGGAGCCAGGGCAGCATGTGCTCCAGCAGGTTACAGCTCTGCCAGTGATCAGATGGTTTGGCGTTTTGAATCGTATCATCTGCAGAAAAGTCACATGACCCCCTGAAATGCTCGACGGGGGCTGGATGAATGGCAGACCCTGCAGGCCCTGTATTCAGACCACAAATCCATTGTACTTGTGTAAATGAAGCATCATTTCATTTTTAAGTACTGTTTACCAGTTGCTTGTTGTTCTCTGTAATACAGAACGACAGTCCAATGTAAACCCGATGCCATAATTGCGATAACGGCTCATCGTCTGTTCTCTACACATGCATGATTAACCGGACAGATGACTCAGACCTCCGCACACGCCGCCTGATTTCACTGTTCAGAAGCGGCGAGCTCACTAAGCACAGCCCGACGATTCCTGCAGTATGTCCTGCAGTATGTCTCACAGTGACCAAGTAGTACGATCCTGGACAGTCGACAGGCACAAAAGCAGCCGAACAGACGTGCTGTGGGGAATGCCCTCCATCTCCCTCCAGTGCAGATGTTCCTCTCATCCACGGACTTCACAGCAGCCCGGCTTAATTGAATTATATTTTGCATCCAGCATAAGCCCTAGCATGGTCTGCTTAGCTCCTCCTTGGGTTACTGAAGTGATAAAAGCAATTACTGAGGTAGGACACACCCATACTGGTTTAACAGCACCACACAAAGCATTTGTTTGCTTCTTGGCCAAACAGAGGCATAAGCAGCAGCTTCCAGGACTGGTATGATAACCCCTGGACCTCAGTCACTGTCATTCCTCCACAAAGCTTCTGGTTCCTGGCTCTTCTAAGCGCAATTTTCAGGCACGGCTGCTGTCGGCCTCCAGAGCAAAGCAGCTTAACTACTCCATGACGGCTGCTCTGGCACAGCACCCACATCAATGGCCTTGATTCGGATTCAGTGAAGTTTCCGCTCGGCCTGAAGTCTCTGATGTGCAGGACAGGGCTCTTGATCACCCTGCCAGAACCAGCCACTCCAAGTGCCAAGACACAGATGTGTTCAGCGGCGTCGTCAGGAGACGGCGAGTGCAGAGATCCAATCATGCCGTTCCCCGCTGAATCGGGAATGAGCGGTTTGTCTTACCCTCTCTAACAACCTTCCCCAGGGTACAAACATTTCATCAGATTTGTATTCAACAACCAGGCTTATTACCGTTAACAAAAACAATAAGAAAAACAATTTTGTAAAATGAAATAAACTACAAATGAATGAAAACTATAAATATTGCTTCTGAAACTAATCTGAAATAAAAAACTAAACATTTTCCATTACTATTTTTTAATAATATTTTGCAAAAGTAATGATTTATTTACCTTTAATGATCATTAATAACACCATTTTAAGGACATTACGACATAATGTGGACTGTGTCTTCATGAAGGATCCTCAAAAATCACACATCAAATCGCTCATCAAATTTCAGTCTATCCCTAGAAAAAAAATCATGAAACAGCAACTAAAACATATAAAACTAAATAGAAATATGTTTTAAATAAAACTAATAAAACCACAATATCTAAAACTAAACTGGATTTCAAATAAAACTTAAAAAAACCATAAAAGTACATTTAAAAATCAAAATATAATAGCACTGATAACTATGCCATCAGATAAAGGCTTTGTGATGAATCGTACCTACAGAATATAATGTCCATTGAAAATCATTCTGATCCCTTGTTTAAATTGTTACAAAAAATCTCTCATCAATCTACTCTCAATATGCCATAATGACAAAGTAAAAACAGGTTTTTAGAATT